TTTTAATTTCAATTTTGTAAAAATTTTTTTTATAAAGTTAATGTTCCAATGAACCGACACTATTTAAATATTCACAGAATATGTTTCGAATTTCCTTAGCGTTGTTGGAATAGTTTCGGCTTGTGGTATTTTGCAATTCTGCCATTTCAATGAATTGCTTATCATTATCTCCTATTCTGCGAAGATATGAAGGGCTACTACGTTTACTTAAAAAAATTATGCAAATAACGTAACGCAAGTACAATTTTCGAGCCCTTTTCTGGGGATAAATTTACGGTGGTCAGTAAAACACGAAATCTTGAAGATATAATTTCAAACGTCTTGCTCGTGATACTCGGTAGTTGTACTGTAGCTGTTGGTGTGTCAATCCTCTATGGCTATATGGCTTCATAAAATTTTCATGCAGGGCAAAAGCGTCATCTGCTTCAAAAACAAACGGCAGCTCTTTGTCAAAACCAGGAATTTTTAACTTTCTCTCTTCATGCATAACTGCAATATTTGAGTTTCTATAAACCCCACCATTAGCTCCAACTCTTCCCTTAGCTCCAACTTCGACCATTGTGAATTAATATTTTGCATTGACAAGGGCCATCAGTACAATGCTATATGTTTTCTTGTAGTTGAAATAGTAAGCGCCTGAATGTGGTGGTCTTTTAATGTTGATATGTTTGCCATCAATAGCACCAAGGCATTTTTGAGCACCTGAAACAATAACAATATTATTTTTTATATCGTTTAGAATCGACCACCTTCTGCAAAGAAATATAAAAAAAGACTATAGTCGAAAAGAAAGGAGTGAGTTGCTAGCTAAGGCAGTCGAAGCTCTTCAAAGCAATCGAAGGTCGATATAAGCACATTCAGCTCAACGTGGGAATTGCTTTTCAGAAAACTTGCTTCCACACAACTACTCTTTGCCAACAAAGCTATAATGGAAGTTTTATAATAAGGAGTATTGGAACGCTTTAATCAAAGCTTCTACAAATTATTTGAAAATAAAACGACACAGCATAGCTTTCCACCACGATCTTCTTCAACACCATTTTTTTCGAGCGATTCTTCATCTGCAGCTTCACAATATTTTGTTTCCACACCGCTGCAAAGTCCTGAGGAGCTTATATCACTTCAATCCCATGCGCACCAACTCCAGCCATCCAGAGAAGTCATCACTCTACATCAGTCAAGTCATCACTCTGGACCACAACAACCTCAGTTTGTACCTGCAATCAGCATAAATTGGCATGCTAATGGAAACAACCTTGACGCGAGCACAAAATATCGCATTTATAATGAATTATTCACCAACTCAGATTATTCTTAACTCTTTTGGAATGTAATTATTTTAAGTATAGCTTATAAGCACTCATATTCCTCCCTTTATGACTTTAGTTTTTCACATTTTGAAAAATGTCTTATGTTTTTTGTTGAATAATACATACTGAAATAAAATCCCTGAGTACTTTTACTATTGATTCACATGTTTCTACTATTATATGGCTCAAAGTTGGGGTTGCAATTTTAAACTTTCGTAGGACTCTCCAGTTACGGAAAGACGGACGAACAGAATTAAATTGTATAATTTACATTTATTATTAATGATAGGGTTTTTATATACTGTGATTATCGGATTCCTGTACACACAAAAATGAATTGTATTGTAATTGCTTCTAACTCTTTGTAAACTTTTCTTATTAAAAATTCTACTACAATAGATTTCGGATCTAATTTTTCTAATAATTTTTCAAACTGAGAGTTTGTTTATTATTGTTTTCGATTAATTTAACCCTGTTTTTATTTCTTTTAAATCGTCATGGTCTTGTGTCCCGGTGACGAATTTTATAATTGAGCCTAAAATGTTTAGTGAAGGTCGTGCCCTGTTATTTGTGGGCATTAATTGTGATTTTAAAGCCTCTATTTTACTGACAAGAATAGCTTCTTTTTCATTCGAATTTGTATTATACCTGTTCCTCATAATATTTTCGTACGTATTAAAATACACACGTTCTTATGGACGGACCTATTCCGACAGCTGCACGACTACACGACTACAGGCCGACAGTTGTCGTTCTCGCAAACTTCAATTTTATCCTATATTGGCCAACGACAGTAGAGTTGACAGTAGAATGGAAGATAAAGAGATGAGGTAGAGTGGTGATGCTACTAATATGTAAAATGTAAAATTACTCAAAGCTCTAACAAAMCTGACGTTATTTTACAAATAAAAGCATAAAATAGCTCTGTTACATCATTTATAATAACAATTGATAATTTAAAACAAATAAATTGACTTATTTTTTGCTTAAAAATTTCACCTTTAACAAAATATTAAAATTTCATTGAAGTGCAAGGTCTAATACCTTTCCACAACGAAATTGTGTACATGCAAAATGGACAACTGCGTTGTTTTGTGTACATGCCGGCCATTGCTATGTTGCTGCCCTCTCACAAACGTTCATGTAGTAGGATTCAAGCCCCCATTTTCAGTTCACTGTCGTGCTGCTGCAGACTGTCGCGAGCATTGTGTTCCGCACATCAGTCATAAGATGTTTGGCGTTGGGGTGTACTTGAGATAATATTTCCTCTATGCATTCATGACAATTTAGTTTGTTTTCCAGTTTTCGTAAGTAAAAATATTTTGGGTGCTTATCAATGCAGTTCATGTATAGTATATGATCGAAATTCTGGRTAAGCTAACAATGGAAGTATCCAGCCGTTTCACAAATTTGGAAAAGCTTAATGACTGTTTTGGTTTTCTTTGTGATTTTGTACAAATTATAGAACTAACCAGAGGCTCATACAATAACAAACTCGTCGAAAATAAAGAAAAATGCCAGCAACTTGCCGAATCCTATCCATGAGACTTGGATAACGAAGATTTATATAGTGACATCCAAGACGTCCTACTTTTATTCAAGAGAGCGAAGAAAAACGAAGAATAAATTGGATTTTCGCCAGAAGTTTCATTATACATTTCTTCAATGGGACTGGAAACCTACAATTCGTTGGCGTTGGCTTTAAGAATACTACTTACTATACCTGTATCTATTAGCAAACGTAAATGATCAGTTCTTACTTGAGATTGACCATGAGTCAGAGTAGACTGTCCAATCTTGCGATTCTCTCAATAGAATGTCAAAATGCTTCAACTTTAAATTACAATGAAATGATATGTGATCAAAGCTAGAAAAGTGCATCTTTAAGTTCCATCACTATTTTTAAGAAAGATATAAGACAAATTAAAAGACTGAAGAGTATTCGAGTAAAAATTAATATTTTTCATTGTTATTAAGATTACTACATTGTGAGTGTACAACTCTTTATCTTTTATAATAAATTTTGTAAAAAAATTTGTTGAAGTATTTTCCCTCAAGACGTTGCGCCCGGGCCGACGGCCCCCTTCGTACCCCTCCTAGCTACGCCACTGACAGTAATCATATTATGCTTAATAATGTGGCCAAGATACTCGACAGAGTCTTCTAAAAATTTTACTTTTCGTCTGAAATTTTCGTATTGGCTTTATGTAGTGCATTTATTATAGTTGAAACGTGTTCAATATGTCTCTCGGGTGAATTAGAGAATATTAATACATCGTCTATTTAGCAATATATTCTCGGAAATCGTCTACGCATCGTTGAAAGATTGAGGGTGCGTTTTTCAACCCAAATGGCATCCTAACAAACTCATACTTTACTCCATTGACTACAAAAGCGGTATTTTCTCTATTGGATCCCTTTATTAAAATTTGATGGAATCCTGGTTTTAAATCTATAGTTGAAAATCCTTTTCCTAAATTTTGCATATTTATTTTTACATCAGGTGTTGGATATCTATCTGTGAATGTCTGAGCATAATTTTTTTGGAAATCAACTACCATTTTCCTTTTTGTCTTACCTTGTTCGTCAGTGCCTTTTTTGGAACATTTTTACTTCTTTTAATAATTCCATGTTTTAATCAGGGGTCAGAATTACAAACCTTTTCTGATTTACAATGGTGTTACAAAATCTGATTGGATTTTCGTCTTTTCGAACACATGCAAAACTAATATTTGAACCAGCTGTGTACTAATGTGACAAAACTTGCAAATGAATACAATTGGAAGCAATCCTATTAAGGTTTTTAATAAGTCCCGAATTAAAGTAAGATTTAAAAAGATAACAATTATCGAATGAATAAAGACGTATTTGGGTGCTAATTTACGTTTTGTAATCTTTGAATATCCGGATTATTTTCCAAAAACTCAATAATTAAGACATTTCGTGTTTTAGACTTATGTTTTCCCCTATAGAAAAAAAGATAAATTAATTCAATATAATAAAATAACTTGATTTCTTAACTTACATTTAAAATCTGTGAGCGACTATCCCTTCTTTGTTTCTGATAGCAAAACCGATAAAATTGGTTTTCGTGACACCCAAAACCGATACAAATTATGTTTCGAATATCAAACCAATAATATCTGAATTCATAACACATACTACTTTTTTTGATCGGTTTCAATTCTGATTCCGACAACTATCAGATTCCACAACACCCCTGAATAACTCCCTATTTTTTTTTTATTCACAAAGTCGTTATCCGCAATGTTATATGGATATTGTTTTGTCCATATTGGATTCTCTGTCTAGGTTCTAATTGCCGCCTGAATAGTTGTGGTGAGAGGAAGAGCTTCATTTATTTCAACGTTTTATAGCATTCGTTTTCTAATGTCTTTTTCGCATTAAGATAGCAAAATTAATTTTTTGCTCTACGTTATGGGTCACTTCCTTCTGGTACTTTAAACTATAATAAAATAAATTCGCTTCTGCTTTAAAAGTTCTAAGTCCCTGTTTTAATATCATATCAAATTCATTTAGCCTATCTATTTCATAATATACTAAATCATGTCCATATGTCCCAACCACTTTTTTTGAATTAATGGCTGAAAAGCCAGTAAAGTTTTTGTTCTAAAAGGAATAATTTGTATTGACTTACCGATTTCACATTTGTTACTAATATAATTATTAGTCGATCCTGTGTTCACTAAAATTGTAACGGGTGTGCCGGTTAATTTTGTTTTTCTTTACGAGGCAACCCGTTTACGTGTCTCAAAATGCCCATCGTAGTCTGCTTGTGCGGTTTGATTGATACGCTATTAAATAGATTTGGTTGGTGACGCGGATTTCTTCGTTGGTAGCTGGTACTGTTGCGAAATGTCTACTTCCATTGGTTCTGGTGCAAGTTTCTGTTGCGGTTGATTATAATTTCTATCTGATAACTCCTCTGTATTCTGACGTTTGGTGCATGATGTTGTTCGTTGAAGCGAAGTTGATATTTCCTTTTATCATCAGATTGCTGGAATCTTTGTTGCTCATTCCCCCTTGGGAGGTTACAATGTACCTCGAATTGGTGATTCACATTGCCGTGGTAAATAGTACTAGCTACTGCGTAAGCTGTGTCCAAATCTTTAGGGTTATGGCTATACAATGTCCCATTTGTATCTTTCTTAACTCACGCATGCACATTTTGAGAGCTAGATTCTTAGATAAATTGATCAGAATATATTTTCTTGCTCTCTCGCTTGTCAGCTGGCAGGTCACCCTGATCTGAGCTGGCAACAAAACACAATCAGGGTGCCGTCAGTTAGTGAAAAAGGCCGGATGCCAGAAGAGTAGCGGAAAAACGAACTGCCAAAATTAGTGCGTCGTGAAAATTTTGTAAAATTAGATGTCAGTAGTTTGTAAAATTATTTATATATATTGGCGATATAGGTCTACTGGGGATCCGAGCACCCAAAAATAATATCGGTAACGCGATATTTGCATACCTCAGTGGAAATGTGAAAACAGCAAAATGCCCAAAAGTTGTGTATGCCCAATGCCCAATCTAATATTTTTCAGCAGTGGCATCATTGGCAAATGTTATAAAAATTGCTCTCTCTCGAACCAAAGAGATTCCTATCAAGTTATCTATGCTAGATTAGAGGATCAATGCAGGAGTTAACGAACCGTTGTTTGTCGCGAGTAAAACAAATTATATTTATTTGGGTAGTATACTTATTTTCGTGTTGCCTGTTTTATTGATAATTTCTTATTGACTACATTTTATAATCTTAGTGATATTTATACTTACGGGAATGCTTGTTTACTTGCTAGAAAAAAGATAGTTTTATAATGCTTATCGGCTTTTCGTTATGGAATTCTGTCTGTTGTGTTTATAATACGGGAATTTTATTGTTTGTTTAGGTTAAGTGTGATCTGTTGAACACATAGAGCGCGACAGACTGCAAACTACATTTGTCAAATATTAAAATACACACGTTCTTATGGACACACCTATTTTGACAGCTGCACGACGACACGACTGCAGGCCGAGAGTTGTCGTTCTCGCTAACTTCAAATTAATCCTATATTTGCCGACGACAGTAGAGTTGACAGTAGAATGAAAGATAGAGAGATGAGGTAGAGCGGTGATGCCACTGATATCTAAAATGTAAAATTATTCACAGCTCCAACAAACTTGACGTTATTTTACAAATAAAAGCATAAATAGCTCTGTTACATCATTTGTATAACAATTGATAATTTAAAGCAAAAATATTTACCTATTTACTTATTTTTTGCATAAAAAATTTCACTTTGAACAAAATATCAAAATTTCATCGAAGGGCAAGGTATTAGTATGGCCACAACGAAATTGTTTATATGCAAACGTTCATGTAGTAGAATTCACAGCGCCATTTTCAGTTCAATGTCGTGCGGCTGCAGTCTGTCGCGAGCATTGTGTTCAACACATGAAATTTACTTAGGCTGTCTTCAGCGTCGCCAAATCCCCTGCAAATAACCCAGCAAAACTTGCGTGACCGAAACTCCAATACTTTTACACAATTTTTACTTGTCACTAACACTCCCACACAAATCTTTGAAATGAGTAAGAAGTCAATCTATTGTGTATTTTGTTTGTTTTATATTATAAGCTCTTCACTCAACAGATGTTAATCAAAAATAAAACAAAAGAAGACAAACAAATTTTTTTAGCTGTCACCGCTTATTGAAAACGATGAATGTGAAAGCGTACAGCATGATACCGTGAATTTGACGTTTGCTTGTTCGTTTCGTTGTGACGAATTGAATTCGAAGAAAAAAAAATTCGGTTACAAACGCATCCATAATTAGAACTGTGAAGATTTGTGCTTGTGCATATTTATGCAAAATTATATRAAATAAATATTTAAATATATTTTAATTGTGTTTATTTAATTTCGTTTTTGTGTCTACGAGTGTGTCTACAAGTGAAATTTTGAAAAAGGGTGAGTATAGAAAATAACAAATATGAAGAAAAATACATTTAGTGCATATATGAACCGGGACAAAAAGGCTTTTAATCTTAGTGCATCTAAATTTGTGAAAAAGATGTAAATTTTGATTGTGATCCTGATGTGGAGGGATGCAGTTCACTAAGCTCCCTTGATTTTTCTTCAAATTGCAGTAATAGCTATGTTAGTGATAGCGAAATTTTAAAAGTGATAGAAAATAGTTCATTTAGTTTAGAATTAAAAGCTTGGGCTTTGAGAAATAGGGTGTCCCATAATACACTAATCGATCTTCTGCAAACGYTGCGAAAAATAGGTTACAAAGATTTACCTCTAACGGCTGAAAGTCTCCTAGGTACCAGCCGAAAACAAGTAAATATTCAAACGATTTTAAGTGGATCTTTTTTATATAGAGGAATTCAAAGTCATTTTGAGAAAAATTCATTTCCTCAACTTGAAAATGAAAATAATATTRTGCTTGATGTGGGAATAGATGGCCTGAAATTATTCAAGAATTCCAATAAAGTATTGTGGCCTATTCTAGCATCCATAGTTAATTTTCCAAACGAATTGCCATTTACAATTGCGTGCTTTTCTGGAACAGAAAAACCTTTGGAGCATTAATGATTTTTTAAAAGAATTTTGTGGAGAAGTAAATTATTTTAAAAAAAATGGTCTTTAGGTTGGTGCTTATCCTGTAAAGAAGAAATTTGATATTCGTTTGTTTTGCTGCGATACTGCTGCGATACTGCTGCTCGAGCTTTTGTTACAGGTGTGCAGTCGCACACTGGAAAAAGTAGTTGTTCTAAATGTGATCAAATGGGTGACTGCAAAGAAAGGAGAGTTTGTTTCTCAAAATAAATAAAACATTTAAGAACTGACCAATCTTTTAAAAATAAAAGTGATAGATCACATCACATTAATCCTTTCAAATTTAGAGAAAGCATTTTAGAATCAGGAAATTTCAAAATGGTTTCCGAATTTCCTTTAGACCCAATGCACATTGTAGATCTTGGTATATGTAAAAAGTTGCTTCAATTGTTGATTAAAAAAGGCAATATAAACGTAAGCAAAGTTAACGAAAAAATTACATTTATTTCCAATTTAGTTCCTTCAGAGTTCGGTCGAATATGTAGAAGTTTAGATGAAATCAGCAATTGAAAAGCGACAGAGTTTAGGCAGTTCTTATTGTATATAGGTATATTTGTCCTAAAGGTTTGCATTGGTGATGACCATTACTACCATTTCCTCTTATTRCACACAGGTATAAGGCTACTATCATGCAAGAAGTCTTATAGCACTTATATAGCACTAAAGCTAGTTACAATATAAAGCTAGTTACAATTACAAGTTTGAAAATCACATGCAATATTTAAAAAAACTTATAAATAAGCCCAATAAAATCCTGCAGCAATTACATTTAAGGCTAGAAGAAAGAAATATTCCAGATTTTACTTGCAATAAAATATCCAAAATTAATTCGTTTAATATAGATTTTAAAACAGAAAAAGACTCCTATTGTTTTAGTCAAAAATTAAGCCCCATAAAAGTTACAGGCAGGATAGAGGAATCTGGTATCGCAACTTTATCGGCACATTCTATCTTGGGTGTTGAAAACTAMTTTCAAGAACCATTGGAACCGTCATCTGGTTAAGGTATTTTATTGGCAGATAAATTGGACCCACATTTGTTTAAAATAGAAGAAGACGATATAATTTATAAATATTTTTCTATTCCACATGAGAGCAAGTTTCTTCTAATTTCGATTTTACATCATCTATTTCATGAATTTTCAAATTAGTATTTTTCTCTGTAATTATTGTATTGTCCCGATGGTATTTTATTATATTATGTTAAGTTATTTAAAATGAATTTTGATGCTACCAAATTTTTATTTCTTAATCAGATGGATTCACCAGCGCTTTCTGATGACACCTATTTGGAGGAATGCCCAACAACGTCTTCGACTCCCGTAAAAGGTACATGTAAAATTGTCATTTTAGTTTTCAATTTATTTTTACGCATTTGTTATTGTAGAACAATTGACATTTAAATGGAAGAAATTCAACATTTCTGGTTGCTACAACTCAGAGGCAAGCTTCACAAAGCAACAAGGAAACAATTTGCCTGTGGATGGAAATGGTAATCAAAATGCATTTCTTAAAAATTTTTACTTTATTATGTTTACACCTTTTTCAGATGTTTTTAACATGTTAAAAACTATTACCTCCCAACTACAAGAGTTGTCTTCCAGAGTTGAAAACATGGAAAGGAAGATGGGCAGCTTTTTGAAAGAAAATGTAAGTTTATGTCCATAAAACTTTTTATTGTTCTATAGATGTGGTTGATTAGGCATTATTAAAGCATTCTCTAACTGCACTTGTTCTTTTYAGATAATTCAAAAAAGCGAAGAAATGGCCCAACAAGAAACCGTCCGCGAATGTAAGGTGCTAATGCGGAAAGTTCACCAATCAGTATGCCGACTGACTGWCCCTACCATTAACAACACTAGCTGCAACTTTGGAAATGGAAGAAAAACTGAAATGCGAAGAATTCGCTACAGCAACGGTTAGTAATGTATACAATTTCTTCAATAAACAAWATTTATTTTGCATAATATTTTCAAATTACAGAAACAGTTTGTTTTAAGGATGAAAGGTAGTTCCGACAGTGTTGCGGCAACTGAACACTGACGAATTCCTGAGTTTGTGAAACTCGGACGGTAGTGGAGGCAAGCAACCGCTATCGAAATTTCTGTTGTCCAACATATTATATGGTAAATTTAATACATACATATTTACCTAAAAAGATGTATTTTACATTGATTTTTCATTACATTTTTTATAGATTCTTTCATCACCTGTGGACTTGCGAATTTCGAGCAACAAATGCGGAAGTCCATCGAAATGAGCCACCATAGATTTAAGCAAAAAAAATATAGGAAGCGAAAAGCTGAATGATAAATATAATATTGTAATAATTTTTTTGATATATGTATAAGTATATATTATTTTTTATATCTATATAAGAATTTATCGAAATAATTTTTATATTATTAAAAAAAAAAGACGTGTGGCACTAGGGGACTGCCGCGGTAAAGCTATTGCATAGCACAGGGATAGGCACATTTTTAGCCCGCAGAGTTAGCAAAGTGCGCACGATGGCTTGATGAGGGGAATATCAGTTTACGGAGTGAAGGGCAAAAGAGTTGTGAAAAAAATCAATTTGCTTGAACAATGTTGCCATTACTCAATTCGCATATGTAGTTTTGTACACATCTAACTTTTCAATTATAATTTTTCGTAATATAAAATATCAAAACTGAAATCAAACTATTAAAAATAGTTTATATATTNAATAAAAAAAAAAAATATTTTATAAAAAAATCTTTATATTTTTGAGTTTCGAACTTTAGGTTGCAGGAATACCAAGCGAGTGTTTTACCCACTAGGCTATTGTAGAATGCACAGTCACGCTTTCCTGAAAACAGTTTTGTTGATTTATCCCAAATTTAATGAAAGTGTGAGAGAGAAGGATATAGTTTGATTACAGCAGAAAATATGTGAGCGAGAAGGTGATAAAAGATCACATGTATACAAAAGTTTTGGGAGCTTTTTTRATTCGCCCTTAAGAAAGTGATAGGAAAAAGTGACAATTAAACCAGCACACGTGACCGGCACGTCACTTGGTAACATGACCGTCACTGTTCTAACTGGGTAAGCCATCGATTTGACTTTGTCTGTTGAGTATTCTAACATTTTCGCAATATTTGCAAAGGTGAACTAATCTGTAAATGATTGCTAAGAAAGTAAGAAATGCTATGATTATTAATGTGAATGCACTGGATTTTCTTGGACAGGAATTAAAAATGTTGAGAATTCTTGTATGTTACTGAACTTGTAGCTTGATTTTGAGGGAAGAATACGGAGTTCGAATTTTTCGCTGTGCTGTTTTTGTACGATTTCTCTGATTTGTTGTTGATGGATGTAATATATAATTCCATCAATGTTTGCGAATTCTGAAAAATGAATTAATTTCGGGCCAGATATAGGCATATTATTCCAAGAATGCTTATAATCTGTCAAAATATGACCGTTTTCTAGAATTTGGAGTGGAGCGTTATTTTCGCGAATTGTTTCACATTATGCTGGATTAAAATTTAGTATTTTGATATTGTAATTATCAGAGGATTCTGATTTACAAATAAAATTGCTGAAAAAATTCTTGCATTTTGAAACTCTTTGCTATTGTAGAGTCTAGAATAATTTTACCATGCTTATGAGCAAAAGGGTATACATTAAATAATCTACATTTAGTTCCGAGTATTGGGTGTTTGTAAATTGTAATTATAGCTTGTTCTAAATAAGAAATATGGATATCAGAATATTCCAATACATTGATTAGTGGAAGATCTAACTAATCATGGTTTATTAATTCATGCACGTTATTCAAATTAAGTGTGCAAGAGTAAAAAATTTTATTTTTCAAGAAATTAATAGTATCTTTTATTGTTTGTAATTCGTTATATGTAAATTTCTCCTATTATTAAATTCTCATTTATTGCTTTAGAATCGAGTGATTTAATGCTTTTTTATTTGTTATTATTTTCTATTAGTTGATGTTTTTATTTCGATAACGTCGTCATGATCTGGTGTACCAGTTATAAATTTAAGTAACAGAACCAAGAAAGTTAAGTGATCTTTTGTTCCTATAGATATTTGGCATACGTTGATTTTTTAATGTTTCTATTTTATTAATTAATATTTTGGTTTCGGGCTGTTTTTCTAAATTATAGTAAGATCTCATTCTGTCTTTATAGGGCGCAAGTATTTTTGATAAAGTTGATATATGATACAGAAAGGAACTATTTTTATATATGTGTACAAATACAAAGAAAAAAGAATACAAATTTCAATTTGTTTTCTTTTAACAAAAAGGATAAATAAATAAACAAATAATGCAAGAAAGTAGTGTATTTCGAAAGTCGAATTGTGAGATTTGGATTTGGGAGCACGGGTGGTGGAGCACGGTGCTCGTTCTTTCCGTAGATGTGGTTGGCCGTGAGGAAACGATCGGCGCAAGTTATTCCACAAATGTTAAATAAAAAAAAACAAAAGGTTTCTTATAATAAATGTATTTTACAAATAATAAATTGGACAAAAACTTAGCACGTCTGGATCGGTGAGCGGTCGCAAAAGAAGAGAGCGCGCAACTTTTTAGTTATGGTTTAGTTGCGCGCGAATTAAAACTTCGAAAAAACTTCGAATAAGAGGAAAAGAAAAGATTGCTCTGCCAATACAGACGTGGCAAAGAAATTGGGTGGGGGCGGCGTCAACATTCTCAAGTTCGGTTCGGGAAATGCCGCTGGGATAAATCGAATCTCAGTCGGTCATTGCCATGCCGCCAATTTGCATAGAAGTCACCACCTTCCGAGGCCGGCGAGACGACTCGAGTGTAACTCGATCATGGGTAGGCGGTAAATGTGAGGTGTTGGCAGCCAGTGTACTTTATGGTACCGATATTATACGACACCGGACATTATATATCCCAGTGTCGATGAGTTGACCCCCTCTCCTTGATAATACRGCGTGCACCTGCTTGACGACGAACGTCTCGCCGACGCCTTCGCTTCGGATGGGGTGGCCGATGAGACGAATCGAGTCTCGAGACGAATCGAGTGTGGTATGCGGGAGAGGCATCGTTGGTCAGAGCTTTGCGTGTTACCGTCATGCACTGAGGTGGTCTGATTGTAGAAAATTCTGTTGGTCGAACTGTTGCTGCTGCTGTTGTTGCTGTCGTTTGCCACCACGGTCAATGTAGAAGAGCCGTTCGAGGTGGCTGTTTGGTTCAGAATGTTAGCCAAATGATGTGATGGTGTTGATGTCGGTGTAGGGGACTGTTGCGGTGGCTGATGCAGCTGATTTCCAGCGGTTGATGCTGAAGTTGTTGTTGTTGCGCTGCCACCCTTGGGTTGGACGCCATGGGTGACGAAATGTGCGCTAGAGACATAGACGGCTGCGTTATCGGCAGCTGTGCTTTATTCTGCGTTGACTGCTGCCGTTGTTGTTTTTGATGCTGTTGTGGTAATGGCTGTTGCCGCGGTTATGTCTGCGACTGAGGTTGCGACTGTGACTGAATCGCTGTCTGCGTCTGTGTTAGGATCTGGGTAGGCGTTGATGTCGGCGGTGGCTGTGACTCCAATTGTGAAATCTGTTGTTGTTGTAGTCTAGATTGGAGACTAGCTGGTGCATCTCGTGTCGCCGTTAACATTGCAGCAAACGGATCGCCTAGCAACTGGTGCTGGYGCTGCTGTTGATATGGTTGATGCATTTGTTGTTGGGGCGTTGTTGGATGATGTGGTGATAATTGTTTCTGTTGTCTTTTCGACTGCTGTTGCCGCATAGTCTGTTGATGGGGCGATTCTTATGCCTGTTGTGTAAATATGAAATTAGTATAATTTTGACTACAAAAATGGGATTGTGTTTGTTGTTGCGTTATTGTTGAATTTTGTGCCTCGCCTTTGCCATTTATTTTCACTTCTTCGGAGGGAACGGAACCTGTTAAGATTGAACCGAACACTGTACGTTGTGCAACAAGTGATCCGAAGATTTCCGACTTTACCCCAGTTAGAATGATTTTCGGGTAAAGATCCGCTCCAATCAACAAGTCAACCTTTTGACTCGTATAGAAATTATTATCCGTTAAGGGGATATTGCGCAACCTTTTTAAAGTTGAGGAGTTAATTGACCTGGATGGAAGCAGTCCAGTCAATTTTGGCAGTACCAACGCTTAAACTTTTGTTGCGGGGCGAACCAATTGTAATCGCGCATACCGATTGAACTCGTCCTGATACGGTATTATTCAATCCTGAAACTCGCGCGCTGACCTTTTTGCTTGCCAGATGTAAGCGTTTTTGTAGACTATTGCTTAAGAAGGTGGCTTCAGATCCCGAATCAATCAGGGCTCTGACAGTGAAGGCGCTCTTGTTGTGACATATGGTCACCATGGCTGTACCTAAGAGCATGCTTCGACTGGTAGGCACATTTGAAATATTGGTCTTAATAGAGGCCACATGAGATTTAGTAGAAATTTCAGTAGTGTCTGTGCTGTCGGATATCTCACCTATTTCCTCACTCTGATCCCGGTGAATCATAGAGGGACGTCTCTGTTTACATTTATTACAATTAAACATACTTCTACAATTTTTGACTTCATGTGAGTCTGATAAACAGTTAAGGCAGACGTGAAGTTTTCTGATAGCATTTAAACGTGCGTTAGGTTGCATCTTAATGAATCTTTGACAAGTTTTCAAAATGTCCGATTGAGATGAGCACAGTTTACATTTAATGTTGTTTTTCTTAGCGTGATGGAAATTGATGGGTTTGGATCCAATCCTTGACTGCAAGGTTGGTATCCGACCTTCACCATCAGCCGACTCAATATTAGGTTGAGTACTCAACTCGCCTTYGAGGTTTGATACTCTCTCAAGCGTTTTAACCCGTTTGGTTAGAAACTTGTCTAACTCAACCCATTTTGGSATCTCTGAATCCGAATCCAGAGATTGTTCCCAAAGCGACAGTGTATAGTCCGGTAGTCGGATAGAACACAAATACGTGAACATGGCATCCCAGCTATCTACATCGATGCCATGTATCTGTAAAGCTGATATGCAGCTATTTATCTCCCGCTGTAAATTTCTGAGTTCGGTCTCAGATTCTGTAGAAATGTGCAGGAGCTTGAACAATAAATTTAGTTGTGTGTGGAAAAGCACTCGCTTGTTTTCATACCTACACAACAAATTATTCCAAGCCAATGCGAATCCGTCATTCGTCGGTGGCGCTTTCGAAACAATAGCTTTTGCTTTACCTCGCGTTTTTTGATGTAAATGGAATAACTTTTCTACCGGAGATAGCCTTGGGTTATTCCCATATATAGCAGCAAATAAATCCCTAAATGAGGGCCATTGTAAAACATCGCCATGAAATATCTCAGTATTACATGTCGGTAAATTGATAGAATACCTCACGGGTTGAACGCCGTGAGGTTGTGCATGTGTTCGCCCATCAAGGCCGCGCAACACACMTAAGCRTGGTAACAGCTTGAATATTTAAGCTTAATGTCGTCAATTGAGCTTGTGTCGGAAGGATCCACTTTTGGCAAACACAACTTGTATTCTGACTTTACCTCTGCCCACAGAGATCTCAGTTCAGCTTGTTGTACTTCGAGAGAGTAGGCACTTTKGTTGTTTGCTGTTGGAGTAAAAGACTCCTCAAACTCCAGTAGAGCGTCTGCAGCTGTGGGATTCCATTGTTTTGGAAATTGAACCGGAACTGCAAAAATGTTGCACAAAATCGGATCTAAAACTTTGAAATTAAAATTTAAAATATTTGCAAATATGTTGCAAAAAGTTCAAAAGTTACAGAAGCACTCACGGACAAACTAAAAATTAGTAGTGCGTTGTTTCTGAGTGAAGCGTGAATTTTCGAAAGAACAAAAAAATTAATAAATTGAGTAAAGTATTTTCTCTAAGTATATATATATATATATATATATATATTTTTTTTTTTAATTTGTATGTGCTTGCTGGGTAATCGTCCCAATGCACTTGCACGCTAGTATTCGGATGACACAAACAAAATTGATGTGTGCTTAATTGCTTTATTTAAATGCGAATACAAATACAAAAAAAAATTCACAAGCACTTATTTGATGTATCCACTATTCACTTTCACTTTTGTTCACTGGGTTATTTTCGAACTATTTCGATTTCACCACTATACTCATTTGTTTGTTGGGATGGCTGCTTGCCTTTGCTGCTCTCCCTTTGCTGATTAGCCTGTGCTGCTTTGCCTTTGCTGCTCTTCCTTTTTTGCTTGGCCTTTGCTTTGGCATCTTGCCAAATACCGATGACCATATGAATCTAGTAATTCAATCTACTTTAGTCATCTTATTAATTTGGCGATGCCTCCTACATTATCGCTTTATAAGTCTATACTTATTATTATTAATACTTTTCACTTAAATCTATTTTAAGCATCTATTAATTTCTACCACTCATACATGCATTCAATTTAATTTCCATTATCACACATAATTCAACATAAATCATTCAACATAATTTTGAAATACACACAATTTAAGCATTATTCGTACATTTGCTGAATATAATACCATTTACTTGAAATGGAATAAATGAATTCGTACAAAAAATCTTTGCCAGATATCTACTTGCATAAAATCATTCATTCCAAAAATCCTTCAATAGCGAAAAAATACTAATGAATGAAAAAATAGTAGCGAACAAAATATTCGTTCCGAACGAAATATTGGTATAAACGAAAAAACTTCGAATAAGAGGAAAAGAAAAGATTGCTCTGCCGATACAGACGTGGCAAAAGAAATTGGGCGGGGGCGGCGTCAACAACTACTATTATCGACGCATTATTTGCTGCCACCAAATCTCGAAAAGGTGATTTTCAAGTTGCAATTAATTGCTGATTGTAGGATTTTAAACTTAATGTTCAACATTTTATGTTTCTGTCATTCATTTGGAAAAATTCATCTATACCTTTTTTATATATTACGTGTTTATATATTCCTTAAGAAATATCTGACTGGAATTATTATTTTCATGCAAAGTGGATATTTGTTTAAAAAAAATTATATATCAAGCAATGTTCCTCTTGCTTTCTTTGCAATGGGTGCTTCTTCTTTTTTATTATGTGAAGTCGAATCCGTCAACTTTCCACCTTTTCGTTGCAGTTGTTTCTCTATAATTTTTGCATTATTAGCGTAACTATCTGCAATTTCACGCTATATAAAAGGAAAAAAACACAAGTTAAAAACATTTAATAATAAGTATAATAATTTCCTTACAGCTTCGATTTCATCCTCTTCTTCGTCAATGGTTGACACAGTAACTGAACTGAATTTCCCCATGTGCTTTGTATGTCGGGTTACCATAATTTTTTCGCTAGTACCAAATCCAACACCCTCAATAGATGAATCGGCTGTCATTACTTCTTCTGACTCAAGAAAATTTTCCATCTTTTTGCGAACTAACGAGCCCCGAATAATAAATGTAACATCAGATGCTGGATCGTGGCGATAGTATAAAGGCAGACTGCAATGCTTACACTAAAGAATAGTTTATATTGAGAAGAATAATTCTATTTAATTCTCTATATATACATATGTAAAAGAAAGCAACAGTGGTCATACACTGTATTGGCATCTATCCCCAGATGACAATATTCGAACTACTCGTACTACTACAAACTTGAACAGAATGGATTTCGTTGTCGACAAGATTTGGATTATTCCGTATGCGCCACATATTTCAATATTCAAGACACATTCAGGGGTGTTGTGGAATCTGATAGTTGTCGGAATCAGAATTGAAAMWRAWAAAAAAAAAAAGAAGTAGGTGTCATGAATTCAGACATTATTGGTTTGATATTCGCAACAGAATGTGTATCGGTTTTGGTTTCACATAAACCAATTTGTTCGGTTTTGCTATCAGAAACAAAGCAAGAAGATAGTTGCTCAGAGATTTGAAATGTAAGTTAAGAAATCAAGTTATTTTATTATTATGAATTAATTTATCTTTATTAATATAGGGGAAAATATATATATAAAACACGAAATGTCTTAATTATTGAGTTTTGGAAAAAATACTGCCAGGTCGCAAATTCTATCGGAAACATAAAAAGTTCAAAGAAATTCATATTTGTTAATAACCAATGTTCTGGTTGAACTAAGAAAATTAATAAAGTTTATAATTCCAAAAGTGTTTAACATTTGAAAAAAAAGTTTTTTTGGACCAAAAACATTTTCTTTATGTTGTTTAAACATATGTTCAAACTTAGTTTTTTTTAGTTTAAATAGAAGATAATTTAAATCCAAAGATCATTAACTTTGCCTCAATTCCATACGACGTTTAGTTTTTCTTATCCTGCCCACCAATAAAAAAATCGTAAAAATTAAAAACCGAGAAATCTCTCGTCCGAGAAAAGCGCGATTTCGCTTTCTGCCTAAGCGCTCGTATACATACATATGTATCTGCTAAACGCCCGGTCACTATTTCCCTTCTAGCTTCGACAATATTTCGAATTCCATCTGCTGAGTCCCAACAAAAGGATGTTTGTGGTTTTTTAATGGAAGCAATTGATGACGGAAATAGTGGTTTGCATTTCCTGTATGCTCCCGGTGGAACTGGTAAGGTCCCATATTATTGCAAAAAAATCCGCAATGACCAAAGTTTTATAAGCACCGAAAATCTTCATTAATGCACAATGGTTCATAAACGAGCATTAGAAACACTTAACCGAACATTGAAAGATCTACGCGATGACTCGAGATGTTTTGGATGAGCAATAATTCTATTGTCTGGTGATTTCCGCCATAAACTGCTAGAAATTCTAATGTCAACGGCGCTTGATTCAAATCATAAAATCTATGACGCTCTATGAAGATTACCCTGTCTATATTTTAAAACCAGTAAATCTAAAAGATAATGCTACACAAGGGAGCTATGTAAACGTAGTGAGAGGCAACACTGCACAAATGCAATTGCCCTAAAACCATCCAAATGGAAGCGTTGAAAGTATGATTTTCAAAATATGATTAGAGATAATCAAAGCACAAAAACATACGTTGCAAACTTTTTTAAATAAAAAATTTTAATTTTGAACACTTGTATATGGCATGCTAACGGTGTTTACCAACATAAATTGGAACTTATTAGATTTCTAGATGAAAATAATATAGATGTAATGCTATTGTCAGAAACTCATCTTACGAATAAAAAAAACTTCATTATACCAAGATTTAGAGTCTATGTTACAAACCACACAGATGGAAAGACACATAGTAGAACAGCAGTGTTGGTTAGAAAACGATGAAATCAATTTAATTAGAATCTCATGCTACAGAGCAGTTACATACTACAATAATATCTATAAGCAAGTAAGGAAGGGCTAAGTTCGGGTGCAACCGATCATTTTATACTTTTGCAACTTGCAAGAACCAAATCCAGGGAAGTACTTTAAGGTGTAAAACCAATCATATAGAGTAAAGACAACTGGACGTTCAAAAATCCTCATTTTAGTTATAAATGGGATAGGTTAAGTTTTCAGTCAAATTTATCTATTTTAGGTACAACGATACACTGTAATGAATAAAACACTCATATTGACCGGTATGTGCGGTAGAAAGTCACCCCGAAGATCGAAAATCTTTACACTAGGTAGAAGGTGGCTAATTTCTGACATACAGACATACTATTATAAGAGACGGATTATCCCTTAATTTCAGTTATACTGTGCCCAAAAAATTAGGTGACATTGTATTTATTTTGAAAATTCTTTATTTATTCTTCCAAATCAATTTCATCCCCTTCAAAGTAATCCCCACTAGATGTAGTACATTATGCCAACGGATTTTCCAATCTTCGAAACACCGGTTGTAGTGTCAATTTCCGGGATGGCCTTCAGTTCCATCTTCGCTGCGGCTACAATATCGTATAAAAACGGTGTCCCCGGAGCGGTCTTTTGAGCTTGGTGAACAGCCAGAAGTCGCACCTCGCCAGATCAGGTGAATACGGTCGTTGCGGAACGATATGGGTTGAGTTTTTGGCGAAATAATCATTTAATGCAAATTCTTTGCTCAACAAATTTCGACATCGCCAAAAACGAAAAACTTACTTTTAGCAGCTCACAAAACGACACGTATGTGAGCTAATGAATATTTTGACATAAATGTGACTGACAGTACTACCAACCTAAAAAATAATAATTCTCCAAATCCTTCGACGCGCGCAGTTTAAATTCAAATGTCACCTTATTTTTTGGGTCAGTGTGTGACCAACATTTTCGGTCAAAAGTCAACTAAAGGTATCGGGGTCTAAATATTCGGTACCTATGAGTTTGAACAGTTTTTATTGGATTTAAACAGTTTTTGGTCATAAGGTGGCACACACTAAACACATTATTCGTGCAATGTATTATCCCGTTATATAAATTGCTTCTTGATTTGCGTACTGGAAACTAAACGAATCAAGTGGAATTTAAAATTCTGCTATACTATTGTGATCAAATTGAAAGGGGAATTTTGTCATTTCATCTCATTCAAAGTAATCCAGTCACGCTGCAATACACTAATGCGAACGAGTTTTCAAGTCATCATAGCACTTAGAAAATTCTCCATCGTGATTCCCGTCAAAGCATTCTTTGCTTCAGCTTTTACGGCCGTTGACAGCTAATTAGAAACGCTCGCTTTTCTGTAGTTGGTTGATAAGTATAATGATAAAATATTTTGATATACCATTATTTATATTCCTAAAAGTTTGCGTTACTCTATATACTACTAAATTCACTCTGTTTTGTAGTTGTGAAATTAAAGTTCTTTTAACTTTTCCCAAGTAGTAAATGCGTTACGATATAGAAGGCGACAGCTGATTAGAAATATTTTTTTTTTTTTGTAAGTATTAGAATTCCTTCTGGTGCTAATTTTTATTAGCAATATTAGTGATTTAAGGTAAGGATGTGTTTGAAAGTTGTGGTTTAAAATATATTAAAATTTACTGTTCAATTTTTTTTAATGAGAAAAAGCTATTGCTGAACACCTACTCTTCGTAGATACATTTTCAACCTTCGTCGGTCTGGAAAGATGTGAAAAGAAATAAGATCAGATACTAAAAAAAAATTGTTTTGAATGTCCTTAAGCAAATACAGAATTCTAAAACTATTTTCAATATTGCACGCAAAGAAAAACGTTAAAAAGCTTCAACAGAAATATACCGTAGACCTACTACTGTCTCCCGAGGAGACCCAAAAACAAGACTGACATTCTACGTGAAATTCAAGGCGAATACCATGTCCAAATATGCAAGAGAACAATTGCCCGGCGTTTGGTCGAGTCTGGACTTCACGGCAGGGTAGCACGCAAGAACCCTTTTGTCAACTCTTTTTGGTCTAACACAACAAATCAACAGAAGTATGTCGTTTGGAACGATGTAACAAAAATTAATCACTTGGGTTCTGATGGTCGAAGGTATGTTCGCCGTCCAATAATTCGAGAATTTGATCATCGCCATATTCCACGAGTTGTTGTTGTTGTTTTAACGGTTATCTAATCCGAGTTGAGAATGTAAGGGTCAATTCCGTTGTCGTCGACGTCATCTAACGGGAGGCACAAGAAACGTGCTGTTTCGACCTGGTCAGACCTAAAGGAGGAGGGTGTTAGATGAGTGGGGTTTGTGGTTCATGCAAAGAGGTGGTCAGTATCATGCGTCGCATGCAGGGCATTGGGTATGTCAGGGTCTATTCTGGATTGGTAGAAGTTTAACCTGCTACAATATTCAGAACGAAGTTGCACTAGGGTCACTCGATGCTAATGGTAGGCATCTTGCCGCGGTGCAGAGGCTTAGTCGCACGGCATACTCGGCACCCCCCAACCGGTGTGGGTGGTGCTGACTAGCAAATAAGAACTACCACCTCCTAATCCAGGGTGTCATGCGACCTGTGCCCATTGGATGATTTGCAGCCAGGAGAAACATTCGGCTGTATTCTAACAGAGCCTCCCAAGTTACTCAGACTCGGGTGAGTCTCATCGGGCAGAGGCCGGTGGTGCACGCAGGAGGGGAGGGCAGAGATATCTCCCTAAAGCAGACAAACCAGGCGGGTGCGATGACCCTCTAAGGAAGGCCAATAAGCGGTGCCTCCCTCAAGTGGTATCTGCGGTTTTTCCGGGACGGGATGACCCCCGAAGCGGCGGAATCCCTGGCCAAGAGGAGATACGCAGATACTGGGATATTTCCCACAAAAGAGTGTGGTAAGCTCACGGTGCTCCAAAATCTCTTCTTGGAAGAAGTATTCAGAGGCGATGAATACGCGGCATCCTTTCTTGGGGTAGAATTCAGAGATGGCATGTTGCAGGTGGACTGTATGGACGAGTTGTCCGCCAACTGGCTGCGGGAATTTGCCCCAAAGCTAGGAGGCTGGACCGGTCCAGTCCCCTGTGCAAAAAGGGCGGGGAATCTGCCGGTCAGGCACAGGATGACAATGTTGTTCCCCCGCAGCGTGGACAAGCCGTACGAGTTTGCCCTCGGTCTGATTAAGAACCAGAACCAGAACAGT